TGCACCGTCTCAAGGTAGGACAGAAGCCGGGTAACTGCTGACACAGTGTTTGCCAAGTTACCAGGTATATTAGGTTTGAGCTACTGAGGCCAGAGAACTTTGGGACCATGGCTCTTGCATCCCACCAGCTTGGAGTGTGCACACCTCTCTAGTTGTGTCGCGTTATCAAATTCAGCTTTAGGTCAAGTCTGACACTGTAGGTAGACTTTCTGAACTCGCTTTGGTAGAGCGACTTAAAAAAGGCAGAAGTTGATTCTTGGGCATTCACAGCCTGGTGGTGGGGGTAGCAGCTGGTGGGTTATCAGTGTGCTAGAGAGCACAAGTGCATAGCAAGCAAGATAAGGTCTCAGCATCTCTAAGTGTCAGACCTGGTCCAACAGCCTCGTAAGTCAAAAATACTCAGGCTAGCAGCTCTCCATGTGGTCCTCTTTGGCTTCTCTCCCTGCTTCATGCCCTATCAGCTTTGGATTGTTTTCACCTGCTTCTACAAACTTTCCACAGCTGGTCCTGGGAGATCCAAGATGAACCTAGGGTTGACTAGTAGCAAATAGAAATCAAAATCATGTGTTTCCATTTTATTCTGCTGTGGAATCCTCTCCCATGCGTTGTTCCTCCTCCCTCTGCCTGTCCCTCTCCCCTTAGCCCACGTCTTCAAGGTTGGTGGTGCTGCCCTGCTCTCCCTGCAGGCGCAGTGGCAGCCAGCAAGCTCTGCAGCTGTTGCCTTCATCACTTTACGGGCAAGATTATTCCCTCCTGCATCTCTTTTGCTTCGTGTTATGCAACTGCATTTCATTATTAGCTTTGCTACTGAGCTGTGCTGTGCCATGGCCTGAGGGGGTAGCTTGAGAGACTGCTGGGAAGTTGCATGGCTTCTGATCCCACCTGAGGATGAAGAAGGGAGCCTGGGGAAAAGAGGAGCTGTCGTGGTGTGTGGTTTTGAGACTAGGGGCAAGGAGGAAGAAATAATGATTAGCCAAGCCCAGGAGTCCATCTCCAAGGTAAGCAGGGAGCCTGAAGCAGCTTGATCAGAGTGGCATTATTCATGAGGACTCACAGATGTAGAATTGGAAATGAGCAAGAGTCCAAATGGGATTTGGGTCTGTTGGTCCAGCAGCTGGGATGAAAACACAGTGCCAGGGCAGCGAAACAGCCATCCCTGGGCAGGCTGATGTGCTTTTCCTGGGGGAGGGAGGTGTGTTTTCCAGGTGCCTGAACCCTGAGTGCAGGGTTGGGGACAGGCATTTGTGAGCTTATTCCCAATTCTGTCACACGGCTTTACGAGCTTGGGTAAGTTTCCTTCCCTGTGGGTAAACTGAGGCACTGAACAAATAAAGCCAACGCTTGGCAAGGGGAGTTATGAGTGTTGGTACTGTAATTTGAAGGTGCTGTAGATTACAATAACGAGACCCACTAGAAATTAAAAACATTATATAAAATTGTCTTCTTCCAAAGCACAAAAAAGCTTTATTGTTTTCTTCGTGGGTCAGTGAGTGTCTTCAGAAATCTGCCTCCCCTTTCTTCAAGTGGACTAAAGATGATTTTTGGAGAATTCTGTGCTGCTGACCTGGTTGTTCTTCGCTCGTGATAGCTCCAGGAACAGTCTTGTAGAAATCCAGGAGCATCTCAGAAAAGAGCTGAGCCGCCAGGCGAGGTACGGGGAGCCAGGGGAGCTGGGGACTGTCACAGGAAACCCTCAGACCATGGAAACGTTTGCAGTGTTCAACCTCCCCCATGCATCCTGGGGCTCCTCATGCTTGAAGGCTCACAAAATACTTGAACAAGAAGGGAGGTTTGCTTGTTTGTTTTTTCCTTGTACTTTAAATCCTCTCTGGGCTCCACTTGTGCTGTCAGCACCTCAGTGCTCTTGCAGCAGGAGGGACTCCGCTGGCAGCCATGGACTGCAGGGGAGAAGCTGCTTTGCACGCAGGGAAGAGCCCCATGTGTCCCAAGCCCTCGCTCTTTTAAGTCGTGGGAATGGTGGTTCAGATGCTTCTTACCTGAGACCTCTTCTTGTCTCCCACCTCAGGTCCCTCCTTACAGCTCCCTCCTCCTGTGCTGGAAGATTTGTGCTGTCAGAGGGAAAAACCTGCTGGATTTATTAAGGAAGAGGGCACGTACCAGTGCCAGAAGACAACAAAGGGATGGATTGAGTGTTCAGAGGGGCAGGAAAGGTGGGGAGACTGCTCATGGATGTGCTCGTACCCTGCCCAGAAGGAGCTGGTCCTGGGGGGCAGGGAAGGAATTAACTCCCTTTGGTTCTTAGGCTGTGCTGAGTGTTAAACCAGTGTAGGCTTTGTGTGCCAACAGGTGGGCAGTGGTAGGGCCAGCCCATTGCCCCTTCCATCAGCTAGGGCACCCATATGTTCCAAGGAAGGAGAAGACACGTCAGCTTCAGCACTCTCGTTGCTGCTGTTATCTCTAGTCCATTTTGACACTTGTGCCTTGTCTGCGAGCACTCAGCGTGCAGCCACCATCTGCAGCGTGGAGGGAAGGTGTATGAGGGAAGTCTTTGGACAAGAGCCACCATTTTCCCTTGCCATCGTGGCTTCACTGCTATTGTCTGAGGTGCCACTGCCCCCAGGAAACAGGGCTGAACCTGCATTTCACTGTTGTTTTGGGATGTGATAGCTGGCATGGTGCCTGCATGGAGCCAAGGAGAGGTCTCCCATATCCCAAGTAAGCTTTAGGAGCCGACCACTGTTAACTACAATAACTTGCTTTGGTGCTTCTCTTCCTCCTCTGTCAGCCAGGTCTGAATATATTCAAAATGTTGCTAGGCAAATATTCGGTCTCAGCTGCTGCTCTGACTGCAGATACGTGCTTCACCTCTGCTCCTCGGCACCCTGTGGTCTCAGGAAGACTCTCTGCTCTCCTTTCCTGCACCCTGGCAGCAGAGCGCTCCTGCATCTTCTGCTCCCCCTTCTTGTTGGCAGGGCCAGGCTGAGCTGTCCCACCAGGCTCGGGTGAAGCTCCACGGCTGTGTGGCTGTCACCACAGGCTGAAATGTCAGAGGAGCTTGTGCAGATGTGCAAAGGATGACACTTCATGCTCTTCACTGGTGCGCTTGATCAGCTGCAAGATAGCTAAAGGTTAATGTTTGCGTTGGCCCTGCTGGGCTGGTGTCTGCTGCCCTGCTCGGATTAACCCGCTGCTTCCCGCTGCTCCTTCAGGCTCCTTCCAGCTCCAGCAGCTGTTGTCACACTGATTTATCATCAGTCCCCAGAGCAAATGTTTCCTTTGCAACCGTGCAGCTAGGGCGCTGTTTTTAGTAGGAGCTTGTTGTGGACCAGAAGATGGTGACCAACAGCAGGAAGCGCTGCAGGCTGGCAGGATGCATGTTCTGACGCCCCAGCCATAAGATGGCCCTGCAGCTTGTAACTTTTCTTTATTATTGAATGCTTTCTATTTATCCCCTGTTCTCTAAGAATATAGATGTGTAGAGATCATATGTTTTTCTGGCTTTTCTTAGTTATCATGAAAGCTAAAATCCCGTATTCTTAACAGAAGCCATGATTTAACAGAAACCAGAAATCATCTTTCCAGGACCTTTGACAATAATTACATTTGTTTTCTAGCAATGGTGTTCAAAACAGGACAAACCTGCAACATCATTTGTTTTCAGTCTCAGTAGCCAAAGATGTGAAGTGTTTGTGAGACTAGTCCCACCTGGCAGTTCAATTTCTTTGTGAATTTGTTGGACTCTTCAAGAGGAAAGGGTTCTCCAGCTTCCTCTAATGTATATGGAGCTTTTCCTGTACAGCATCTTGTCTGGTCTGTGCTGAGAATGTGGGGTCTCAAAAACCCAAGGAAACAGATAATTTATTCTGGCACTTGCAGAGATGTCTTGGGTGGCTTCCTATTGTCACTGCAGTCAGTGCTGTCACTCTGGCTCTTTAGGAGAAAGGCCCCTGGGAGGCAAGCTGGGGTTGGGGCTGGGGATGTAGCATTGTGCCTTTGAACTTGTCTCCTTCCAGGGATTATTTCCAGTACTCCAATGAGAAGAGCCTCCTTTCTGCCAACACCGAGTCAATGGTGCTCTTGGGCTGGGTCAGAGGCTGCTGTCTTCTCTCCTGATTACACAAAGTAAGTCTGATGTATAGAACCAGAACTTGTAATTAAATTAGCACAATTGTTATCTCGGAGCAGACTGTGATGGTTTCAGAAATATTTGTGCTTTTGTGTTGCTGGCATCCTTCTGAAAACCTTTACTTGCATGACTGCTCTGGCTTTCCTGGCTTCTGTTGTGCTGCCCGAGACCTCGCTTGCCCCTTCTCTCTTTGTTTCCTCCCCGCTGCCTGCATCCCGCGGCCACCTTCAAAGCACTGTCTCCTTTTGTCTGAACAATAAAGAGAAGCCGAGTGTCCTGAACATGTTTGACAAAGATGACATGCCTTCTGATCTGTTTTTTAACAGCTTCGCCTGGTTCAGCTGCCTTAATTAGCCTCAAATTGAACATGTATCTTGCAGTGTCTAGGCTGCCTCTGCCCATGGAGATAGCGAGTGGCTGTGGGGCATCCTGAGGCTCGGTGGAAGTGGCCAAGAGCAAGAGGATGCCCTGGTGCTGGAGGAAAGTTGTGCTCGGAGGGAGCTGTGCTGAGCGGCGAGGGGCCGGGGCTGGGTGCCGGTGGTCCCTGGCCAGCGGGGCTCTGCCGGGTGCCGGTGGTCCCTGGCCAGCGGGGCTCTGCCGTGCTGCTTCCCTCCTACCACCGGGCTGATCGGAAAATGTCAACCATGAATGAGCTGAACTTTCTGCTCTGTCCTGCGGCTGCGAGCCAAGGGGGAGGGGGGCTGGGGGTTTTAATTTTTACTTTTTTTATTTTGTTGTTTTCTTTTTTCTTCCTTCCTTTCCTTGAGTGGAAAACACAAAGTGAGCTCTTCCCTCCCCAGGGGCGGAGGAGGGGGGTTCGGGGGGGTTGCGGATGCCGGCCGCGGGGGCGGGACCCCCCAGGTGA